CAATATTTCTTTCAAGGGCATGTCTTTAATGATCTAACTTTCTCCAGGTAACCTCTACCTTTTAAAGGTTCCACAACTTCCCAGTAGTGTCATGGCCTATGGACTAAGTCTGTAACATAGGCTTTTGGAGTACTTTTGAATTCCAAACTATTTCAGGTGGAAAGAAACACTTGCTTTCTTCTTTCTTTCAGCTTGCTACTTTTTATATTTTTATTTTTATTTATTCTTCCTCTGTATATGATGTAAAGTACTGATTTTATTTTTCTCTATGTAGCATGAAATATTCCCAGTACCATTGGTTAAATTAGCCATCATTTCTTCAATAATCTGTAATGCCACATCAACAAATTCCATATTCTTACCCATATGAGTCTATTGTGTTCTTTCTATTCATTTCCATTATTTTAATTAGTGTATCTTAAAAAATTGCATATCTCAGTATCTAATAGGGGAAGTTTACTATCTATTGCTCTTTCTTCTTTCAAATTATTCTGTTATTTGTGGACTTTTGTTCTTCAAATTTAATAATAGAATACATTAACAAGTGTATTAGTTATGGTTCTCCAGAGAAATAACTAATAACTTGTGTGCACAAGTGCATGTATGTGTATATGTGTTGAGACAGAAAGAAAGAAAGATTGGAGAGATTAGTTGGGCAGGCAGGCTAGAGACCTGGGAAGACTTGATGTTGAAGCTTGAGTCTGAAGAAGTCTGCTGGTGGTAGAATTCTTCTTCCTTCTAAAAAGATCAGTCTGTCTTCAAAAAGTTTTCAATATAAAATTGGAGGCTTGGCCAATAAAATAAGTCACAGAAATGAAATTAGAAGAAAAAAATTGCAAACTTTCTAATATTTCCACTGATATAATCCCATACATATAAATTCCATGAAAATTCACAACAAAGTATTAAAAGTCATAAGAAAGATGGCTGATATCCTATTCTGTTAAAAAGAAATCAATAGTCTTCCACCAATCTAGCCATAGCTCAACAGATATGTCATTTATGATATTAACAAAATCAGTAAATACATGAAACTTTTGTATAGAAAACTTTAGAACTTTATTGAAGGATATAAGAGAAAAATAAGTGGAAAGCTGTGACATATTCATCAATAGGACAATTCAATACACTACTGATCCTAATTTTCCCAAATTAATAGAAAAATTCAATGTCATTCAAATTAAATACCAGAAGTACCTTTTGAGGGAATCTTATTGTGATGATATATGAAGTGGGGAATAATATTTGCTCTTTCAAGTTTTAAAATAGTTCTAATCTGTTCAATTTTTGTATTTGTTACGCAAAAGTTTTCAAATTACAGTTTTTCCTGATATTTTCTTATCTGGGTTTTCTAATTGATTGCCTTCATAACATTCTTAGTGATTTTCAAAAATTCTCTGTTATATCCTTTGCTATCTTCCATCTTTCTAAAAGTAATTCAAATTAGTGTTTTTCTTGTTTAGTCTGGCAAGAGGTTTGTTTGCAGGTTTGGTCTTCAAAAGACAAACAGCTTCTAGTGCTGTTGATGGTCTCTGTTGTCTACTCTGCCAGCTGCTGACTTCTGCCTTGAGCATCCTCATCCAGGATGAGGCTGATTGATGGGCAGAGCTGGCAGCAGGGATGAGGAATGGGGGGGTAAGACTTGCTCTTGCTTTATGACACAGGGCTTACCCTTGGCAGGTAGAGTAAGGATTTGAGTAAAAAATCAGAAGGCTTGAGAGGAGAAGAGAATAATACAGAGAGGAGTACAGAGAGAAGAGACAGAATCTCAAGTCATAGCTGTGGACCAAAAAAAAAAAAAAAAAAGTCCTGTAGGGCACTAAGTGACAAGAGATGCACTTATTCAGGGACTATCATAGTCTTCCTCCCCAGAAAGGCAATACTTGAAATGTTACAAGAGTAGCACATGCCAAGTTCAACAGTTAATTGCATTCTTAATAAACCAGTGTCGTCTTATTGCTAAAGAATTCATCCTAGGAAATCATAGGTGTGTGTGGCTCTTGGTGGCTGTTTTAGTCAGCTTTTTCACTGCTGTGACTAAAATACCCAACCAGTACAATTTTAGGGGAGGAAAAGTTTGAGAGCTCAGGGCTTTAGTGGTCTCAGTCCAGAGATAGCAGGCTCTGTTCCTTGGGGCTCAAGGTGAGGCAGGACATTATGGCAGAAGAGTATGGTGGAGGGAAGCAGCTCACATGATGATTGGGAAGCACAGAGAAAATTTGCTTGCCAGATACAAAATATAAACCCCAAAGGAACACTCCAATGACTCACCTCCTTCAGCTATACCGTGCCCACCTTTAGTTACCACTCAATTAATCCCACTAAGGGGATAATTCACTGATTGGGTTAAAACCCTCAAAAGCCAGTCATTTCTCCTCTGAATTTTCTTGCATTGTCTCACACGTGAACTTTTGGGGAATATCTCATATCCAAACTATAACAGGACCTGCAACTATATAGGATGTTAAGTCTTGACCACTCTGAGAGATGAAAAATAAATTTTGCTACTCAGTGTTTTTAAAATTACGTATGCCCTAAATTTGTTCCAAAAATAATTGAACATGTGTCTTTTACAATAGGAGAAATATCTTTATTCTGCAAGCTGATGATGGTGGTTCCTCTTGTGAGCCTGCAGTGATCTTGGGTAGATGCTGGTGGGCCCAGAGAGCTGGCACTGATAGCGATTGAACTCTGCTTGTTTGTAGAACATGTAGAGCATCCTAATCTGAAAATCCCAAATGGGACCAGCTGTGAAATTAAAAACTTTTTGAGCATCCACTGGGTGCCACAGCTGAAAATTTCACATCTGATCTCACATGCCCAACATCAAAATGTGGACACACCAACAATAACATTTAAAATTAGCTTTAGGCTACAACTGTAAGGAGTACACTTTATGAAAGGTGTATGACTTGAATCCCATTCCCCAAGATTTTTCATTATGGTTATCCAAATAGTCTAAATTTTGGAAAAAAAAAAAAATCTGAAATCTGAAACACTTCTGGTCCCAAGCATCATAGATAAGTAGTACTCACCTGTTTCCATTGTTGACCTATTTTTTAGTCTGAGATGATGGCTTCAAAGTGCTTTATAGTGCTGTCTAGGCCCCCTGATTCTAAGGAGGTTGAAGGTGTTGAAGCAATTTGCAGTTCTGTTAAACTCAGAGGAATACGTTCTTAACTGGCAAATTTTTCATTTGTAGCTGCCATTCAGCCTAGTTAAGGTGAGGTTTGGGGGAGATAAAACGGTATTTCCTCTAGTGGATGAAATGGATAATATCAGGTGCATATTGGGCTGAAAAGTACAAAAAGGCAAAGGAAATATATTGAGGAATTCTTGAAGGAGAGACAGTGGTTCAAATCCACAGCTTAGATAGCAAAAAAAAAAAAAAAAAAAAAATCCTGGAGGATCAGGTGGAAGTCCAAAGTGAAGCTCCCCTTGCTCTCTTGTTCTCCCACCAATGGAATAAAAATGTGTCTAAAGCCCTCTGTTCAGCATGTGTAGCATCGAAGGTGTTCAGTAAGTTATGTTTGGGTTTTTATTCTATTTTATTTCCCTTCTTTTTGTCTCTGTCTTTTCCTTCTCTTTGCATTTATAATCATTTTTTATTGTTCAGATTAATGCAAAGTCCATTCAAAATATCAGATAAGGACAATATCTGGCAGTCAAGTAAATGCAAATTGGCTTCGTAGAAATCTCAATTAATAAGTTTTTCTCCCTCTGCTCATAAAGAGCCTTATGGCAACATGCTGATAAAATACTTCCCTTTTCCTGAGAGTCAGTCTTTTAGATTTTTGTGCTAGAGTTAGTGTTTGATTACTTTTAAGCTTTTACTTCATTATAAGTTAATAGAAAAACAATTTGCCAGTATCTTTTAAAGTTAACATTCATCTTAAGTAATGACACAGAAGTTCTACTCCATTCTATGTACCTAGGAGAGTATATATCCACCAAAATATGTGTACTGCCAATAGCCAAACGTCCACCTGCCAAAGCATTGGGAAGAAATAAAATTTGCTAAATGTCAGTCAAACATAAGAATGAACAAAAGATGTCAGACACAGGTTACAGACTATGTGATTTCTTTTTTATGAAGTCCCAGTTGAGGCAACATGAACCCATGGTGATAGAAATCAATAGTGGTTGCCACTTGGTTGGTAGGAGGACTGTGGTAAATGTCAAAGGGGTGTGTGGAAACCTCTTGGCTGTTATAAGATTTTTAAAGATTGATCCAGATAAAGTTTTATGCTAACTGTATGCAAATATTCATTAAACTCTTGAATAAAATTTGTGTCATCTATGCATATCATTCACCAGAAATGTATGATTTTCATTCACCCCTGCAAGGATAAATGATACAAAAGGCATATTTTTTTACTCAGGAGAATTTTGACTTGACTCAGAGTCAGTGTTAACTTGACTCTTCATTCTGTGGCTACCAAGGTGAACTGAGCTCTTGTGATGTTTTTATTTTCATCCTCAAAGCTCTCCAGAGTGTTTTAAATTGAGTAATTACCATTCTGCATTCTATTTATCTTACACAGGTTAGAAATAGTTTGAGGAAGGTTAATGTGCAAAGGAAAAACCTTCCCACATTGGAAAAATAACCAAGGATGGGCTGCAGAATTAAGAATGGGATAAATATAATTTAGAAATTAATCACAGTATACTTTAGTTTCTTTATATCCTTTTTGTAGTACTTACATAGGTTATTTAATGGGAATAGATTAATACAAAGGGAAAGCTTTTGTATTAGAATAGTGTGGCCAAATTTAGATTTTAAATACATAAAATAAAAAGTGGTGATCAGTGGAAATTCATGATAAACTCATTAAGAGCTTTGACTATTTAGCTGATTGGTAGAAATAGCTTATCTGATGTTTCTTCTTATACTGATGGCTAGTGAATTTTAGTATGTTTATCAAAATCCCTTTGGACATGGGGTCTCTAGTTCTCTTAAGTAAGAATAACTTCTGGCTCTCTTTCAACTTGTTTGGCAGGCTGCCCTGCAAGTCGGGGGCCATGGAGAAAGGCTGCACCAGTGTCGTGAGGTCATGCTTCTAACGTACAAGTCCATCCCCATGCAAGTGGACGGCGAGCCCTGTAGGCTGGCCCCGGCCATGATTCGGATCTCCTTGAGGAATCAGGCCAACATGGTTCAGAAGAGCAAGAGGAGAACCTCCATGCCTTTACTCAATGAGTGAGTCTGCTCCTTGCCTACCCGGGTTCCCATGAAGACCCTGACGAGCAGGTCGCAGAGCATGTGCATGGTCTGGGACCGCGCTATTGGGAAGGGGAGAGAAGCCCAGGAAACTCAGCAGTCCCTGGTGTCTCTCCTGGGAACATATTCTTTTTTGCTGTTGTTGTTTATTAAAGGATCCCTTGATCCTTTTACTTGTTACCTTATGACAGATGATTCTTCACTGGCCACTTGGATACACACATATCCTGGCAAAAATCATAAGAGAGATTTTAGGGTCATACAATGTACCCACATAAGGCGTTCTTTTGGTTTGGGTTTAAGGGGCATGCAACTGGCCTGCTCTTTACCCGGTCCCTGGGAGGGTGGTGTTTCTCCAGTAACAGAGGTTGGCCGTGCTGGCCTGTGGTTTGCCTCTGTTCATTTCGCATCCCCTTCTGCCTGTTGGTGAATGGTGCCTTTCCTGGTGTTTCCATCTGGGGTCCTGTGGACTTTGGTGCTTCAGCTCAGTTCTGCTTTTCTGTGCAGCATCCTACAATCCTGACTTAACCAGACCTATTATTTCTACTCTTAAACACCTGGTATCCCTATTGGGCTCTTTTCCTGTTTTTAGGTGTTTTGATTAAGTGAATTGAGGTAAGGCAGTAATGACTCAATAACTTAGAATGCATATTTGTTTTTCGATGTGCCTTACTCCAATTGGTGATGTAATTGTCTTTTTGGGATTAGAGAAGTGGATGGAGAAAGAAGGGGCTTTGGGGCACTTTTTGAGTACTTTCTGTGTATCATGTCCCTGTGCCTAAGGCCATTTCAGGGCTTAGCTTGAGCCATTCTCTGTCACAGTGAGCAACCCTCAAGAAACTTCCTGTTTGTGGCCTGTGATGCATGGTTACTGTTTGTACTGAATGGCTGGCTTCCTCAGTATTGCCTGTAAAGCCACATGCTTTGCCACCTGTTCCTAGAGTCAAGGTGATAATCCACAGAAGTTCCTAGAATAACCGCTGACACCAGTGCCATGGCTCCCATAACCTCTCTGGGGTGGCAGATGTCTAGGAAGGGCGGCAGCCAGGGCTCTGCAAGTGTTGTGGTTGGCATCTGCTTCCGAGTCCGAGGCTGGGGGAGAGGTCCTCTCCTTCCTTCTTCCCCAGAGCCTGGATTTTTCTGGAATGTTGCCCAGCTCATCTTCCAGAGCTGCTGTGAAGTGAAATTTCTTGCTTTATTTACATTTTGCAGCTGATGAAACTCCTAGCCCATTCCTGATGCTTTTTATCCTTCTTACTTTGTCCTTTCTTCTAGGTTGAATATATAATTGATGAGTTTGTATGTTTCAAAGGTGGGATGTCAGCAGTTGTACCTGGTTCACCACATTTCCTCTAGAAATGAAAGAGTTAAGCCATGAGCCATTGGTTTGGCAGAAATCTATGAACTAATAAATGAAAAGCCACTTCTGAAGTTATACCATAACCTATGGGGTCAGGTCACATTGATAGATGGTCTATTAAGAAGAGATCATGAAGCTAAATGTCTTTGATGTCTATAAACAAAGAGCTCACAGCCTCATGCCTAGTGTTTCTGTATTTTATAGACATGAAATTGTATTCAAGTGTTTCAATTCCAACAACTCTTACCCTCTGTTAAGAATTAAAATTTGCTAAGTAATCATATTGTTTAGAATTTATGTGGGCTTTCTTCTCATGTAAAACTAAATACAAGTAGTTTTTCTTTTTTCCCCCTTCTTTGTCCTCATGGCAAATATGACACATGATGTCATTTCCTGTACTTAGCTGGGCAGGTATTTAAGAAGCAGCCTCAAAAATGCAGTTACTTTCTCTCCACCAGGGGGCAGTGGTGTTTTCATCAAAACAGCCCCAGGCCTATGAAAGACCTATGTAAAATGGGAATAAAAACATGCTTTTCATTTCTTAAAAAATAATTTAAAAATGAATAAAAACCAAACATTTTATTAGTACAGATGGAAAACTATTATTCAACACCACAGTTTAAGCATATCAATACAGATAGCACATTTCTAAAAGAAAGCAAAAACCTAGTTACTAGTTAATACTTGCTCACTGAACGATTTCTTTCACCTTGATCTTCATTCATTCATCCTTTGCATTTAGATGGCTTCTATTTCACTGGAAGTCAGGTTTTGAAATCTAACTTTTTCCATGGGATTTCCAAGTGGAGGGAGTTTTAAGTTGAAGGTCGGGCTTGCCTTTAAGACTTCCTTCCACCTCTGGCACTCCAAGCATTCCTCTGACCTAGCCATTGTGTGTGAAGTTCACTCTTGCATGTAAAGAAGAGCTACTTGAAAGACGTCTCATTCCTTTATTTTCTGCCTTCCTTTCTTCCCGCCTACCTTTTTTCCCCCTTTCTTCCTTGTTTCCTTTCTTCTTACTTTATCCACTAGGACTAATTTTTTTTTTCTGTTTTATTTTATTTTTTCTGTTTTATTTCTCCTTTCTTTCATATTAGAGGAGAAAGGGAACTGCTCTACAGTGTCTTTAGAATCTTAGCTGACACACCTGTGTGTGTTCCCCATAAGGGAAGGCCAGCCATTCAGGTCATCTTAAGGAATGTGCCTGTCACACAGCATGGAACTGCGACGGCTTGAGATTTCAGGGCTGTGGCTCCCTGCACAACTGCTTTTTCACCAGGACAGTGCTGCTCTTCCTCCTGAATCTGACCTTTCTCTGGGAGGTTGCATCTTAGACCTCTGACTTCAGCCTGGGTTTTTGTTTTTTCCCTTAAAATTGAAAAATCATACCCAAATATCTTAATTCACATTTTTACCTTAGTATCCCATAACATCCTCAAATTATATGCTAAAGCTTGGACTCTTTAATGATTTCCTCGGCTTCTCCTTCTTGCCATCCACATGAGCCTAACCCATCCAGGTGTGTGAATGGAACCACCCTCCATTCATTCACAGTGACCTGTGGAGTCATCTCAGTCAAGTGTATTTTTTGACATCTGCAGACCAGCCACCACTTTCTTTGAAATCTGCCTTCTATTTGTGGCCCAAGTCTTTGACTCTCTCCCTGAATGTCTTCTCTCCTTGTAAGACAGCCTTAGTTCCAAGGCCATATGAGTTACCTCTTGCAGCATTGATGAAATATCCTGGGGTTCATTTCCCTGCACCCTCTGATGCTGCCCTTCACATAGTCTCTTCCAATACTCAGCTATGATGGTTTTTCCAGAAATGAAAAGCCCCATTCCTCAGCTTCACAGCCTTCCTGGTCATTGCCTTCTTTGTCCCCCTTTCTTCAGGCTCCAGAAGTATCCCTTTCCCTAAGTGTCCTTTCTCTCTAGTTCTAGGTGTTATTTGCCCCCTTGCTTGGCTTGGTTGCTTTCATCACACAGTTTATTGAAATGGGGCAATTGCGGGTTTATTTGTCTCTGTTCTTTGGGGAGGCCCTCAGGTTTCCCCCTTGGGATCCCAGTGCCTGTCCTATCAGTGACTCCTCCTGGAGGAGATTCATAATGCCATCTCGATCACTGTGTTTCTCAGAAACCATTACAAACATAACAAATCTAAAAAATCACAAATATAATGATGCTGGAGAATATGTTTTGATCACCTTTTATTGTGAGTAGAGGACACATATCGAATAATTCCAGGTTTTTGGGTGCTAGTGTTCTTGCACAGCCTGGGGAATCTCGAAGGCTGGATGAAAGCATAACTTTGCTAATCTCAAGGAGGGGTGTGGGAGGCCAGCGAGTGGCTCCATGGGGAAGTGTGTGCCTCCTCTCCTTGGTGTCCTGGATGACCTGAATGAAGCAAGGGCGGCCATGGCCACGCCTCCTGTGCCCGCAGCCCACCCTCCCGCATTGGCCTGTGTCCGGTCGGTCTGTGGCTTGCCTGGAACCAGCCCCTTCCATGTGTCCTGTCGGCTTCATTGCTGTCACCGGCTTCTCTGGATGATTTCCATGACTGGCTTGATTTTCCTTTCGACCATTGTTGGTGATGCGCTCATTTAATTTCTGTTTAAACTCTGTGTGTCTCTCTTTCTCTCCCCGGCTTGCTCCTTGTCTGTCCACGCTGTCCTGCTGACTCTGTCTTCGCTGCTCATTCCCCGCCGCCTCTAGCATCCACCAGGTGCAAGCTGCGGACCTGAGGCGAGTGTCTGCTCCCCCCGGCTCCTTCTCCATGTGAGTACAGTGCCATTGCGTTTTTACACTTTGTCCCCAACCTCTCCTGCTCCTCAGGGTTCCACTACCTGCGGCGTCCTTTCCCTTCACAGGTCTGCTGCTCTGCTGAGGACACCTCCTGGCCACGATTGCTGTCTGGTCCCCTTCTTGGATTTGAAACGGAAGCTCTGATACCCTTCATGCTCTCTGTCTGCATCCATCCTTTAGGATTAATGGTTTCATTCAGGTTGCAGGGGCTCCTACAGCATCCCATACTAAGCACTGTTTTTTTGGACTGCGGACAAAGCCTTAGACCCCTCCATCGCCTGTGGGTTGGGGTAGAGTTGAAGGAAGTGCCTACCCCCTTGATGTGTGGGTGGACCCCCAATGTTATGTGTGGAGTGTTGGGTGTCTGTACGTGAATATTTCTCACTGTAATGAAAGGTCAGTGGCCCAGGCTGGGACCGAGTTAGTAAAATGTATTCTTAGATCCATTTAGTAGTCTGTGCACAATGTACTCAGGATATTATATTTGTTTTCTGCCAAAACCAACCAAATAAAAGGAAGATATGTTTTTTGTAGGATTTCACATTAGGATATTTTGATACCCTTCCTCTGTCTTGTCCTCCTCCTTTTCTCCACCTCCTATGTACTTACCTAGCATTACGTATGTTAACTTACTCTCCCGACAACACTATGCCAAATCATTCTCTGTTGTGTATACAAGGAATCTGATGTACAGAAAGGTTAAGCAACTTGCCCAAGGTCACAAAGCCAATAACTCAGACTGGGATTCAAACTCAGGCAATCGGGATTCAAAATTCCTGCTCTTAAACATCGACAATCTGCTGCCTCTCATCAGTCAGGATTGTGTGTATCTCTCAAGGCCCACTGGAATGATTGCTTCCCAAAGACTTCTTCCTTAGTCTTACTGTCAGAATTAATTACACCCCCACTGGAGCTTACTATTGATGAATCTGTTATAGCTCCCGAGGTCTAACTTGGTATTAATCACAATGAGCTATCTGTATATCCCACTGTTGACAGGTCTATTTCAGATCATTGCCAATTTCTTCTTAGGGATCTTTGTGTTGCTGGCCTTGTTCACAGGTCTAACACATAGTGTTCTGAAACCCCACAATGGTTGGTTGGTGGAATGAATGAGTAGAAGAATATATCTAGTGGGATTGAAAAGCAATTCCTGAAGTTTAGTTTAGATCTTACTTTCAATTCTAGTCTTATTTATTAAAAATGTATATTCATGAAAAAATAATTATTCTGCATTTTCTTACTGTCAGAAGCTATTTTATGCTGTATACCTAGTGGTGAACACCACAAAGCACTGCTTCATGGGGCTTCAAGTTGAACAGTCAAAAATCAATAAGAAAATGAATTTCTAATTTGAAGGTTATTGCTGGAGCAGATTCTACTTTCTGTGTTCAGTAAACTTGAGTTTGATGAGTGGCTTATAATGATCCTTACTGTTGCTGGTTCCAGTGATAGATAGCAAAGCTGTCTCTCCAGTGATAATGTCAACAACAGAAATGGGTCAGTAGTCACTGTATTTCCACCGCAGGTTCAGTTTAGGTGGCATTTACCTTTTCGCCGTGTCTCTTCCAGGGCTTTGTGTGTGTGCCACAGTGAGGTGGATTGCCATGCTAGTCTCCATGGGCTATAGCAAGCCCTGTCCACCTTTAAAACCTAAATATCAATCAGAAAATATTTCATATCTGTATGTGACATATATTAAATGCTATATGTTATAGGTTTTCTATGTATAACCAATAAAACATTTATGTAATCAAAATGTATTCAATCTGGGTGTTATTTTAAAAATCAGATAACAGAATCTTATCTGATTCTAAGGAGCAAGGAGAATGGAGAAAGGCCAAGTGTATCAATGTGTTTTATGTCTTTTTATATTATAGCCATGATAGATTAGCTTTGATCCACTCTCAGACTGTTATTGGCTATTTTCAGAAATACTTAAAAATCATGTTAACATGGCTTTGGTCCCCATGAAAGTCAAGAGCCCTGGTATCATCATGCATTGAGATTTTCTGATTCGTTTCGGCTCTCAGGTTTGCCATTCTCAGTTCAGAGCACCTCTCTCTTTTTCTCTCTTTCTCTTTTTAAACAGATGATCCTTTCTTTCAGAGAAGCCTCTTTTTCTGCTGTTCCCCAAGCAAATGTTGCTTTCTTGAAGCAGCTTGAAGTAATCCTTTTTAAAGTAATCCTTTCTCACGTGCTTCCTAGTGGCTTTTCTGGGGGAGGGAGAATGCACAGGGGTGACAGTGTGATGCATGGATTGTGAAGGATTGCAACATACTACTAAGGTCTGTGTTCCTGCAAAATTTCAGCTTTATGCTTAGAAGAATTCTCAATTTTTTTTGTTTTGATCACATATGACCACACATAAACTGATGAATTTTAATCAATGGTATTTAGTGGCTCATTGCTAGAGGACAAAACAAAGAATATTTCTCCACAAATCTGCCATGTCACGAAGTTAACAAATTCTTTAAAATTAAGAGGTTTCCTGGTAAAGTCTTTCTTGAAGCACAAACACACACAACTACCTTTCGTTAATCATGAAAAGTCACATTAAATGCTCCAACTACCAGCTCCTCTTTAACAAATGCCAAAGCGTACGAAACTATAAAGTGTTTCTTTTTTGAGTTCATTTATCCTTTAGTAGCTCCCTTTCATTAGGTTCCATTTCCCTCCTGCTTTTCTCCCATCAAAATGAAACCATGTGACCCAATTTATACTTAATTCATTTTTTTTTCATCTTTCAAAGAACATTGAGTGCTTATTTCAGATACCAGATACTCAGTGGGATGTTGAAACTAGAGATCAGAAAGCTAAGGTTTCTTCCCTGGGGGGATGGAGGGGGGTGAGCATACCAAGAACAGAGCTAATTGAGTTCCTACCCTATGATTACAATATAATATGACAAGCGTCCCAGGACAGATTCTGGTTGTACTTCCATGTGACTGATGTTTTATTGAATATTTCTTATGTTTGCTTTTATTTTCTAATATTTAAAGTTAACATCCAGGAACATTAGCCTTTCTGCAGCTCACTGGTGTTCACACAGTTCCAAGGGTTTGAGTCATGGATAGATTCCTGTAATCACCATCATAACCAGGGTACAGATCACTGCATCACCCAGAAATGCTGCCTTTTATTCTACCCACTTATAATCCCTCCTCCCTAGTTCCCAGCCTTTGGCAACCATTGTTCACTATGGTTTTGTATTTTTGAGAATACCTTTTAAATGGCATCATGCAATTCGTAACTATTTAGCTGGCTTCTCTGATTGAACACAACATCCCTGAGTTTTATCTACGTTGTTACATGTATCAGTCATCTGTTGCTTTTTATAGCTGAAACTGAATTCCATTGTAGGAGGTTATCAGGGTGTTTATCCCTTCACCTGCTGAAAGATATCTGGGTCATTTCCAGTTTGCAGTGAATTCAATTAAGAGTTCAATTAAGAGCCAGGCAAGCTGATGCACACCTATAATCCCAGTGGGAGGCTGGGGCAGGAGGATCACAAGTTTGAGGCCAGCCTTGGCAATTTAGCAAGGCCCTGAATATCAATGGATCTATTTTAGGAGTCATTACTCAGGTTATCTATTTGAACATGGTGAGTTTCCTTTCTATAAAAAAAAAAAAAGTTGTTTGATGTTTTTGAGGAATTTGTTCACTGCATCTAAGTTATGAATTAATGTATGTAGAATTGTTAATGGTATTTCCTTGCTCCTTTAGTGTCTGTGAGGTCTCTAGTCTTATTCCTCTTTTATTCCTGATAGGAGTAATTTGTATCTCTCTCTTTTTTTCTGTTATCTTTATCACTCTTAATTGTCACTTATTGATTTTGTTCTTTTATTTGAAGAAGGGGCTTCAGTTTCATTGGTTTTTCTTGATTGCTTTCTTGTTTGTAATGTAATCAGTTTCTGCCCTTTTTTATTTCCTTTCTTCGGCTTGGTTGGGATTCATTATCTTCTTCTCTTTCCAGCTCCTCAAGGTGGAACTTCATTATTTGTCAAGTAGGCAGCTGACTCGGCTAAGCTCAGGCCCCAGGTGTGGACAAGCCTCCTGAAGCTCACAGTGTGAGCTTCCTTTTCAGAGGCTGTTCAGTGCTCGACTATCTGTCTGATGTGGGCACTCTTTGGCTAGCATGGGATGTGAGCGGGGTCTGTCCTGTCCAGTTCCTAATGTCTGGGTCGTGATGTTGAGGGCCAGAGCCATGTAGCTGCCACCAAGGGATGAAACCCTGAGTCCATAGACCTCCCTATGGGGTTGTTTTCTGACCTCCTCCCTCTCTGTCAGCATCCCTGGTACTTTCTGGTTTGCTGGGGCTCCCTCTTTCAGTCCTTTAGCCAGAAAACTAAGGCCTTGGATTTCTCATCTGCCACAGTGTTCCAGCGAGAGTGTTCATGTCCACTGATGAGCGGGGATATCACAGGAGGAGAAAGGGAAGCCTCTGGGCATCACAGCCACCGTGCGCTGGAAGGAGACCCCTCTTTTTCCGGATGGTAGTAATTTTGGCACCTGAAGTCCTTTGTCATGGCTGCTCCCACAGCTGCCAGGATAGCAAAATGGCCCCAGTTCTGGGGCTATGAAAATAAAGGGAAGAGAGAGAGTTCTCCCCCATTTCTCTCAGCATCCAGAGGAGCCTATTCTGGAACTCAAGCCAGTGCCCAAGCATCTCCCGAGTTGTCACTCCCTGCACCCAGGGCCACCTGAGGGCCAGGCCAGGGATTATGGGGGGAGGGTGGGGTTCTCACCAGCAGTGTGATGGTATTTTAAATTCAGGTCTTCTTCTAATTTACCGCTATCATTTACTTTTCAAAGTTCTCATATGAAATCTGACCAGGTTTTATAGCTGCACTTAGTGGGGGATAAAGATGGTATGAGTTTCCCCCATTCTGGGTTGGGAGCATCTCCACTGCCTTTAAAACCCAGGACCATCATCCATCCTTCCTACCCACTGCAGGGACTCAGAGAGTGCC